AGGGTGCCTCGACGGCCCCTGGGCCCGCCGAGGGCCCCTGGAGGCCGAGAGCGGCGAGAGGCCTCCGCCTTGCCCTGCTCGACCCCCGCTGGAGGTCCGGGCCCCGCAGGGCTTCGCGCCGCCGCCGACCGCGCGAGGCGCTCTCGCTGCCGGCGCCGCCGCCCCCGGGGCTCGGCAGGGCGCGACCGACGAGGGGGGACGCGGGACGCCCACGGCGGCGGCCGGGGTCTGCACCCTCGCCGCCCTCCTTCTACTCCTCGTCCCTGACCTCAATCTCGCTCCTCCGCCTCCTCCTCCGCATTCTCCTCCTCCGCATTCTCCTCCTCCTCCTCCTCCTCCTCCTCACCCTACTCCTCCTCCTGCTCACCCTACTCCTCGTCCCTCCTCCTCTCCTCCTCCTCCTCCTCCTCCTCCTCCTCCTCATCATCATCATCATCATCGTCCTCCTCCTCATCGCCTCCTCATCCTCCCCTCCTCCTCCTCCTCCTCCTCCTCCTCCTCCTCCTCCTCCTCCTCCTCCTCCTCCTCCTCCTCCTCCTCCTCCCTCCCCCTCGTCCGTTCTCCTCCTCCTAGTCCACCTTCTGCAAGTGAACCCCTTCTCCTTCCAATTCCCCACGTCTGGAGGAGGGGGGCGGTGAGGAGGGGGGAGAGGGAGGGCAGTGGCAGTGGGCAGAAAGATGCTCTTTTCCTCCATGCCATCTTCGAGGTCGGAGTTCTTCGGGCCACCATCCTGCAGGAGCAGCTCGGAAAAAGGCCGCGATCCACGGAGAAAGTTGCTGGGTGCGATCGAGTCCACGTAGTCGTCAGACACGGACCAGTCGTCCAGAAACATCACGTGCTTCTGCCGCAGAAATCCTCTGCGGGGCAGCGCTGGGGCGCGAGGATCAGCTCGGGGGGTGGGAAGCATCGAATGGGGGAGAGCCTGTGATGATCGGCATTCGGGGGTGAGGAGGAGGAGGAGGAGGAGGAGGAGGAGGAGGAGGAGGAGGAGGAGGAGGAGGAGGAGGGGAAGGAGGACGAGGAGGGGAAGGAGGACGAGGGGAGGGAGGGGAAGGAGGAGGGCGATGGGTCGCCGACAGATCGGCGACGTGCCCCGGACGACGCAGCTGCGCGCCCCATGCGTGGGGTGGGCTGCCGGGCCCCCAGTCTGATGTCGGGCGTGTCCCCCTACAGCGGGAATTCTCGACGAAACATAGGACGATGCCCCAAACATACCCCCAAAAGATCAACACATGCTCAAACAATTAATCCCCAGACTATGTTTGGACTAAGTTCTGCTTATTTGTTGGTGTATTATGTATGATGTGTGACTAGTTTTGGGATTATGTTTGGACTATGTTTTGGTTATTTTTTTGACTAGTCTTGGATTATTTTTCATTTTTGGACTATGTTCGGATTATTTTGCGAAAGTGTTTTGATTATTTTGGGGGTATCTTTTATTTTTCGTCGAAAATCCCCCTGTAGGGGGACAGGCCCGACTTCACCCCAGTCGGCGATCAAAACTGGCCACCGGGGTGCCGACGCGTCCCCCCCCCCCCGCCTGGGCGCATCCCCTCCCAGCGTTAGGTCGGGCCTGTCCCCCTACAGGGGGATTTTCGCCCAAAAAATGAAAAATGCCCTCCAAAAATAGCCCAAGAATAATCGAAATGTAGTCTGGGGACTATTTTTCGAATATTGTTTGACCTTTTTGGGAGTATTTCGAGTCTGGGGGATTTTCGCCAAAAAACTAATTATAGCCAGAGTGCAGTATCCCTAAACAGGGTTTTTAAACCCACTGCGGTTTCCAAGGTCGATTGAGTGCCCGTCCAGTGCAGGCTGGCATGGCATCCTACTCCTCCTCCTCCTCCTCCTCCTCCTCCTCCTCCTCCTCCTCTTCCTCCTCCTCCTCCTCCTCCTCCTCCTCCACCTCCTCTTCATCCCGAACGGCATCTCGGAGCCCAGAGTTGCGAGGATGTCTCCAGCGAGACGGGCTGGACCGCCTCGCGCGCGGCATTTCGGACCCCAGAGTTGCGACGATGTCTCGGGCGAAACGTGCTGCGAGGAAGTCTCAGGCGAACGGGCCAGACCACCTCGAGCGCGGCGTCTCAGAGCTCCGAGTTGCGGGGGCCTCCTTGGGCCTCATGGGACCTCCTGGTGACTTCCTGGGGCTTCCTCCTGGGCCTCCTGTGGCCTCCTGGACCCCACCTGGGGCATCCTGAAGCCTCTTGGGGCTCCCAGGGGGGGATATCTAACATGTGGCCGTCGGGGCCCCCCAAAATGGGGGGGGCCACACGAGCAAGCAAAATCAACGAATCGACACTGGATGTGTATCAACTTGACACGTTCTGATAGGGGCCTCCTGGGAGCCTCCTGGGAATCTCCTGCGGACCCCTGGGGCCTGTCCTGGGCGTCCTGCGGCCTCCTGTGGGGCCTCCTGGGGCTCCCAGGGGGGATATGTAACATGTGGTCTTCTGGGCCCCCAGGCTGGACCACCTCTTGCGCGGCATCTGGGAGCTCAGAGTTGCAAGAATGTCTTGTGCGAAACGGGCCGGACCAACTTGCGCACGGCATCTCAGAGCTCAGAGTTGCGAGGATGTCTCAGGCGAGATGGGCCAGACCACCTCGCGCAGGGCATCTCGGAGCCCAGAGTTGCGAGGATGTCTCAGGCGTAACGGGCTGGACCACCTCGCGCGCGGCATCTCGGACCCCAGAGTTGCGACGATGTCTCGGGCGAAACGTGCTGCGAGGAAGTTTCAGGCGAAACGGGCCGAACCACCTCGAGCGCGGCGTCTCAGAGCTCCGAGTTGCGGGGGCCTCCTGGGGCCTCCTGGGACCTCCTGGTGACTTCCTGGGGCTTCTTCCTCCTGGGCCTCCTGTGGCCTCCTGGACCCCTCCTGGGGCTTCCTGAAGCCTCTTGGGGCTCCCAGGGGGGGATATCTAACATATGGCCGTCGGGGCTCCCCAAAACAGGGGGGGCCACAAGAGCAAGCAAAATCAACGAATCGACACCAGATGTGTATTAACTTGACACTTTCTGATAGGGGGCCTCCTGGGGCCTCCTGGGAGCCTCCTGGGGGAATCTCCTGCGGACCCCTGGGGCCTGTCCTGGGCGTCCTGCGGCCTCCTGAAGCTCTCTGGGGCCTCCTGGGGCTCCCAGGGTCCCAGGGGGGATATGTAACATGTGGTCTTCTGGGCCCCCAGGCTGGACCACCTCTTGCGCGGCATCTGGGAGCTCAGAGTTGCAAGAATGTCTTGTGCGAAACGGGCCGGACCACCTTGCGCAGGGCATCTCAGAGCTTAGAGTTGCGAGGATGTCTCAGGGAGATGGGCCAGACCACCTCGCGCAGGGCATCTCGGAGCCCAGAGTTGCGAGGATGTCTCAGGCGTAACGGGCTGGACCACCTCGCGCGCGGCATCTCGGACCCCAGAGTTGCGACGATGTCTCGGGCGAAACGTGCTGCGATGAAGTCTCATGCGCAACGGGCTGGACCACCTCGAGCGCGACGTCTCAGAGCTCAGAGTTGCGTGGGCCTCCTGGGGCCTCCTGGGGCCTCCTGGTGACTTCCTGGGGCTTCCTCCTGGGCCTCCTGTGGCCTCCTGGACCCCACCTGGGGCTTTTCCTGAAGCCTCTTGAGGCTCCCAGGGGGATATCTAACATGTGGCCGTCGGGGCCCCCCAAAATGGCGGGGGGGCCACAAGAGCAGGAACAATCAACGAATCGACACCGGATGTGTAGTAACTTGACACGTTCTGATAGGGGGCCTCCTGGGGCCTCCTGGGAATCTCCCGCGAACCCCTGGGGCCTGTCGTGGGCGTCCTGCGGCTTCGTGAAGCTCTCTGGGGCCTCCTGGGGCTCCCAGGGTCCCAGGGGGGATATGTAACATGTGGTCTTCTGGGCCCCCAGGCTGGACCACCTCTTGCGCGGCATCTGGGAGCTCAGAGTTGCAAGAATGTCTTGTGCGAAACGGGCCGGACCAACTTGCGCACGGCATCTCAGAGCTCAGAGTTGCGAGGATGTCTCAGGCGAAACAGGCGGGTGTCTCGGGCGAAACGTGCCGCGAGGAAGTCTCAGGCGAAACGAGCTGGACCACCTCGAGCGCGGCGTCTCAGAGCTCCGAGTTGCGGGGGCCTCCTGGTGCCTCCTGGGGCCTCCTGGTGACTTCCTGGAGCTTCCTCCTGAGCCTCCTGTGGCCTCCTGGACTCCACCTGGGGCTTCCTGAAGCCTCTTGGGGCTCCCAGGGGTGATACCTAACCTGTGGCCGCTTGGGTTCCTCAAAATGGCGGGGGGGGGCACAAGAGCAGGAAAAATCAACGAATCGACACCGGATGTGTATTAACTTGACACGTTCTGATAGGGGGCCTCCTGGAGCCTCCCGGGAGCCTCCTGGGAATCTCCTGGGGACCCCTGGGGCCTGTCCTGGGCGTCCTGCGGCCTCCTGGAGCTCTCTGGGGCCTCCTGGGGCTCCCAGGGTCCCAGGGGGGATATGTAACATGTGGTCTTCTGGGCCCCCAGGCTGGACCACCTCTTGCGCGGCATCTGGGAGCTCAGAATTGCCAGAATGTCTTGTGCGAAACAGGCCGGACCACCTTTCGCACGGCATTTCAGAGCTCAGAGATGCGAGGATGTCTCAGGCGAGACAGACAGGCCGGACCACCTCGCGCAGGGCATCTCAGAGCTCAGAAGTTCGAGGATGTCTCAGGCGAAACGGGCCGGACCACCTTTCGCGCGCAATCTCCGAAGTCAGAGTTTCGGGGATGTCTCAAGCGAAACGGACCGGACCACCTCGCGCAAGGCATCGCAGAGCTCAGAGTTTCGAGGATGTCTCAGGCGAAACGGCCCGGACCACCTCTCGCACGGCACCTCGGGGCTCAGAGTTTCGAGGATGTCTCAAGCGAAACGGCCCGGACCACCTCTCGCGCGGCGTCCCGGAGCGCAGCTTTTCGAGGATGTCTCAGGCGAAGCGGCCAATCCCGGCCAACTCAGAAACGAGAGTTGTGAGGATGTCTCAAGCGAAACGGCCCGGACCATCAAATTTTTGTGAGGATGTCTATGCTCCGACTTCCCTCGGCCGGATCTAGCTTCTATCACAACAGCACCCCTCAGCAATCTGTTTGGGGAAAAATCAACGAATCGACACCGGATGTGTATTAACTTGACACGTTCTGACAGGCAGCCTCCTGGAGCCTCCTGGGAGCCTCCTGGGACTCCTGCGGCCTCCTGGTGCCTCCTGGTGCCTCCTGGGGACCTCCTGGAGCTTCCTCCTGGGCCTCCTGTGGCCTCCTGAACTCCACCTGAGGTTTCCTGAAGGCTCTTAGGGCTCCCAGGGGGGATATGTAACCTGTGGCCGCTTGGGCCCCTCAAAATGGCGGGGGGGCACAAGAGCAGGAGAAATCAACGAATCGACACCGGATGTGTATTAACTTGACACGTTCTGATAGAGGGCCTCCTGGGGCCTCCTGGGAGCCTCCTGGGAATCTCCTGGGGGCCCCTGGGGCCTGTCCTGGGCGTCCTGCGGCCTCCTGGACCTCTCTGGGGCCTCCTGAGGCTCGCAGGGTCCCATGGAGGATATGTAACATGTGGTCTTCTGGGCCCCCAGGCTGGACCACCTCTCGCAGCATCTGAGAGCTCAGAGTTGCGAGAATGTCTTGTGCGAAACAGGCCGGACCACCTTGCGCACGGCATCTCAGAGCTCAGAGTTGCAAGGATGTCTCAGGCGAGACGGGCCGGACCACCTCGCGCAGGGCATCTCAGAGCTCAGAAGTTCGAGGATGTCTCAGGCGAAACGGGCCGGACCACCTCTCGCGCGCAATCTCCGAAGTCAGAGTTTCGAGAATGTCTCAGGCGAAACGGCCCGGACCACCTCGCGCAAGGCATCGCAGAGCTCAGAGTTTCGAGGATGTCTCAGGCGAAACGGCCCGGACCACCTCTCGCACAGCACCTCGGGGCTTAGAGTTTCGAGGATGTCTCAAGCGAAACGGCCCGGACCACCTCTCGCGCGGCGTCCCGGAGCGCAACTTTTTAAGGATGTCTGAAGCGAAACGGCACGGACCACCTCTCGCGCGGCGTCCCGGAGCGCAACTTTTCGAGGATGTCTCAGGCGAAACGGCCCGGACCACCTCTCGCACGGCACCTCGGGGCTCAGAGTTTCGAGGATGTCTCAAGCGAAACGGCCCGGACCATCTCTCGCGCGGCGTCCCGGAGCGCAACTTTTTTGAGGATGTCTCAAGCGAAACGGCCGGGACCACCTCTCGCGCGGCGTCCCGGAGCGGAACTTTTAGAAGATGTCTCAGCGAAACGGCCAATCCCGGCCAACTCAGAAACGAGAGTTGTGAGGATGTCTCAAGCGAAACGGCCAAAACCATAAAATTTGTGTGAGAATGTCTCTGCTCCGACTTCCCTCGGCCGGAGTTAGTTTCTACCACAACAGCACCCCGTTCAGCAAGCTGTTTGGGGAAAAATACCCTTTAAAAATAGCCCAAGAATGCTCCAAAATTAGTCCGGGGACTAATGTTCTATTACTTTAGGACCTTTTTGGTGTATTTTTTTTTTGTTCGTCGAAAATCCCCCTGTACGGGGACACGCCCGACTTAATCCAAGCGCTGCCCCGGATCCTTGGGTGGACAGCCCCTTGAACACGACGTCGACGATCTCGAGTGGCAGGGGGCCGCGCCCGCAGGCCCGCCGGAAGCGGCTCAGGGACAGCTGGTTGGCCCCGTGCTTGTCCATGCTCTTGAAGGAGCGGAGCACGCTTCCGAACCTGCCTGCTGCCCACTGCGTGAACGCAAGCAGCGCCGCGTGCGCGTCCCTATCGAACTCTTGGAGCGCAACGTACCCCGACTTGTCCGCGTCCAAGGCTGCCCATGCGCCGGCCACGTCGATGGACTCTGCATCTGCGCCGTCTTCTGCACCCGGTCTGCGAAGGAGCTCCTGGGTTGCTCTCTCGAACTCCCGGAAACACAGGCGCATGTTCCTGTTCTTGTCCAGGCCGAAGTGCCAGGCTCGCAGCGCATTGCCTTCAACATTACAGGGGGGGGTAAGAGAGCCAGCTCGTTTCCGGCCGCGTGTGGAGGGGCGGCGCCAGAAGCATCGCCAGGGGGGCCGACGCCGATCCCCGAAATCCACGCAGAACTCGTGAAGTTTGTGCTGATGCAACCCCACCAGCCCTCTGGGCGTGAGTGATTTGGGGAGTTTCCTCTTCCACCTTCCCTCTGCCCCTTCGGAGAAATGTGTACTCCTCTCCCATACCCCCTCCCCGCGGAAGGGGGGTCGCTGCCAGTTAGAGCGTTCAGGGTGGCCTCGGCGAGACGGCCAACATCATTGATTGTGCTACGAGGTTGGCCACACTTTGGCCTCTGACCCAAGCCGCCTGAAGAGGCCCCCCATGGACTGCCAATAAGCTCAAGACGCCCCAGGCGGACTCCAAGAAACTCTCGAAGACATCTGAAGAGATTCCGAGAGGCATCCAAGAAGCCTCTGGCCTTTCTGCTCGCCCTCCTACTCCTCCTCCTCCTCCTCCTCCTCCTCCTCCTCCTCCTCCTCCTCATCCGCCTGTTCCTCCTCCTCCTCCTCCTCTTCCCTCCACCCCTCCCCCTCTCCTCCTCCTGCTCCTCCTCCACGTCCGATTCCTCCTTCATCCTACCCCTCATTGGATACGACGTCTTACCAAGCCCTTTATTCCACAGCTCGTCCCTCCTCACCCCTGATCAAGGCAACTCGCCTTGGCATCGTTTATAGTTGGACTGGTGGGTTTGCGGGGAGCGTCTTGCTCGACTACCCTTTCCTCCCCTCCTCATCCTTCCATGGTGCCCCAAACATGGTGTACACCAATACATGCGACGTGTTCACTTCCCAACCCTCCTGTCCAGTTCTCCTTTTGCATAGAGAACTGGTGACCCCACCTCTCCTCTCCTCCCCCTCCTTCTCCTCCGCCCTCTTCCTGCCTCATCCTGCGCTGCTCCCTCGCAGGCTGCGAGCTGCGCAACTGTCGCAACTTTCGTGGGCTCCTGAGAGGCACGGCGGAGTAGGGGAGTAAACGGCCCAAATTCCTGGGAAGCACGGCGGAGTAGAAGAGCAAACGGACCCAGACTAGACGTCGGTGCTCCCTGGGAGGCTGCGAGCTGCGCCGAGGTCCCCACGTTCGCCGGCTCCTGGGAGGGACGGCGGAGTAGGGAAGCAACGGATGCAGACTAGCCCTCGCAGCTCCCTTTGGGGACGCGAACTGCGCAACTGTCGCCACTAGGGTGGGCTCCTGGGGGGCACGGCGGCGTAACCGGATCCAGACTAGACCTCGCAGCTCCCTTGGGGGACTGCGAACTGAGCACCGCCAGGGGGCCGACGCAGGGCCAAGAAATCCAAGTAGAACTCATGGAGTTCATGTTTATGCAATCCCATCAGCCCTATCTGGGCGTGAGTGGATTAGTGAACTTCCTCATTCATATTCCCTCTTCCCTGTCAGGGAAATGCTTACCCCTGTCTCATACCCCCCCCCTGGAGGGGGTGGTCGCGGCCAGTTAGAGCGTCCAAGATGGCCTCGGCGAGAAGGCCAACATCATTGGTTGTGCTACGGCGTTGGCTACACTGGGGCCTCCCTCCTAGGGGGGGAGCGCTAATTGAGTACGGCATGTCCTCCGATCGATCTCCCTCCACGATGGCCTCACGCTTGCCCCACAGGCTCACAAGGGTGCCCCCGAGATGTGCCCAGGAGGCCCCAAGAGGCCCCCAGAGGCCCTGATGAGGCTCCCAGGAGGCCCCAAGATGCTCCAAGAGGCCTCCGAGAGGCACCCAGGACGCACCGAGAGGCCTCGGCGAGACGGCCCAAATCACTGTTTGTGATACAGTCGGGCTGCTGAAAGAAGGAACAATAAACAAGGAACGAAGCCCCTTTTTGGCCCCACAAGCGCCTGCGTGCACGAGGAAGGCTAAAGAAGAAAAGCCATGGAAGAACCTAGGGAATATCGAGCCCCTTTCTTACCCAACCTGTCCCTTATGTCAGCGACTTGGCCGTAAGGTGTTGGCCACAAGTTGGCCTCCTGGGGGGGGAACCCCCAATGTACTGCGGCCCCTCCCTCTGCGGAGGCACCCAGGACGCCCCAAGAGACATCGGCGGGAAGGCCCGCACCATGTTGGCTGGCCACATGGTGACTTCTTAGGGGAGGGACCCTTTTTTTGTTTATGATTGTGTTGTTGTTTTTTTGTCTGTTGTTTGTCCCTCCTCTGATCGATCTCCTCCAACATGGCTCCACGGTGGCCCTCCGAGGCTTCACAAGCGTGCCAAAAGACGGCCCCGAAGGGTGCCCAGGAGGCCCCACGAGGCCCTCGCGACCCAAGACGCCTCAATAGGCCCCCCATGGACTGCCAAGAGGCCCAAGACGCCTCAAGGGCCTCCAAGAAACTCTCGAAGACATCCGAAGAGATTCCGAGAGGCATCCAAGAGGCCTCTGGCCTTTCTGCTCGCCCTCCTCCTCCTCCTCCTCCTCCTCCTCTTCCTCATGCTCCTCCTCTGCCTCCTCCTCCACCTCCTCTTCCTCATCCGCCCGTTCATCCTTCTTCCTCTTCCCTCCTCACCCTCCCGCATCTCCCTCCTCCTCCTCCTCCTCCTTCTCCTCCTCCTCCTCCTTCTCCTCCTCCTCTTCCACTTTCTCCTCCAATTCCTCCTCCATCCTGCCCCCATTGGATGCGACGTCTTATCAAGCCCTTTATTCCACTGCGCGTCCCTCCACACCCCTGATCGGGGCAACTCGCCTGGGCATCGTTTCTGGATGGGCTGGTGGGGTCGCGGGAAGCGTCTACAATTCTTCCTTATCCGACGATCCTTTCCTTTCCTCCTCATCCTTCCACGGTGCCCAAAACATGACATACACCCAGCAGTGCAATGTGGTTCAATCCCATCCCTCCTGTGCGGCTCTCGTTTTGCATCTCTTCTCTCCTCCCCCTCCCTCTCCTCCGCCCTCTTCCTGCCGCATCCTGCGCTGCTCACTCGCAGGCTGCGAGCTGCGCAACAGTCGCAACTTCCGTGGGCTCCTGGAAGGCACGGCGGAGTAGGGGAACAAACGGACCTGGGCTGCGAACTGCGCAAGTTTCGCCACTTTCGTGGGCTCCTGGAAGGCACGCCAGAGTAGGGGAGTGAACGGAACCAGCTCTCAGAGGCACGGCGGAGTAGAGGAGCTCCTCCTCCTCCTCCTCCTCCTCCTCCTCCTCCTCCTCCTCCTCCTCCTCCAGTGAACGGACCTAGCTCCTGGGGAGCTCCTCGTCCTCCTCCTCCTCCTCCTCATCACCCCTCCTCCTGCGCAGCCTCCCTGGAGGCTGCGAACTGCGCAAAGCTCGCCACTGTCGTCCTGCCTCCTCCTGCGCTGTTCCCTGGGAGGCTGCGAACTGCGCAAAGGTCGCCACTTTCGCGGAGTATGGGGAGTAAACGGACCCAGCAGAGACCTCGCAGCTCCTGGGTGGCTGCGAACTGCGAAACTGTCGCCACTTTCGTGGGCTCCTTGGAGGCACGGCGGAGTAGTGGAATAAACGGGCCCAGACTAGACCTCGCCGCTCCCTGGGAGGCTGCGAACTGCGAAACTGTGGCCACTTTCGTGAGCGCCTGGGGGATCGAGCGGAGTCGGGGACCATGCTGATCCAGCCGAGTCCTCGCAACTCCTTGGGAAACTACGAACTGTGCAACTGTTGTCGTTTCCGCTGGCTCCTGGGAGGCACGTCGGAGATGAGGGCATCCTCATCGTGCATACCTGGTGATGTGGTCTTTTGCCTGGAACGTTCATACAAATATTCTCCTCGAGTGAAGAAGGGGCCGGGGACGTCCAGGGACTTGCAGTACGAGCTCCGCGGGAACCCCAGAAGTCCCGACCTTGTCCCCTGGAAGGGCTGGGATTTCCCGCATCGATCTTTGGCGGCTCCTGGGCCCCTGCGTGGGCTGCCAGAGTCCGCCAGCGGCTCATGAACCTCTCGTCGTGATTCCCATAATCGCGCTCGCTAAGGAGGAATATGAAGGGGCCCCAGGACACACAAATAAATACACACAAATTAAAGCATTCCCCATATTTTCCCAGATTTTCTGGGTTTTCATCTTCCCCCCCCCTTCCCATATTTTCCAATTGTTCCTGGGGGATCGACGAAGAAATATACGAGTGGTTAGCAAAAACAAGCGACTCCCAGACAGAGGACGGGGAGCCCGCGACCACCTGGTCGGGCAGCTGCCCGGCGGCGGCCCCGCCTGAAAGTTTTGGCGGCGCGCACGAGGTGGTAGGGGGGGGGGACGGCTTCTTAGAAGGAGGAGGGAGGAGGAGGAGGAGGAGGAGGAGGAGGAGGAGGAGGAGGAGGAGGAGGAGGAGGAGGAGGGGTGATGAGGAGGAGGAGGAGGGAGGAGGAGGAGGAGGGAGGAGGAGGAGGAGGGAGGAGCCTTCTGAGAAGCAGGGGGGTGCTTCCGAGAAGCCTTCCCCCCCCGACCCCCCTTCTGCGCGTGGCCAGAAAATCCTCACACCGGTTCAAGCCTCATGCTCTTGCCCCAGTGCCGGCCACACTGTTGGCCTTGACGGCCCCGATCCCTGGCAGACTACCCAAGACGTGCCCATGCCCCCCTCCACGCGAGGCGGATATTTGCATGAGCACTCTAAACTGGCCATCGCTCGGACGTCATTCCCTGTTGTTGTTTCGGTTTCGTGCGTGGTTTTTCGCCAAATGATCAAGGATGCTCCTCGATGGTCCTCGCCGAAGGAAAAACGCACACGTCCGAGCGATGCCAAGACCCATGCCCCCCCCCCCCACGCGAGGCGGACATGTGCATGAAGACTCTAAGCACAAGAACGCGCCGAATATGCACGATCAGCGCTTCCCTCATCTCCGCCGTGCCTCCCAGGAGACCACGAAACTGGGAACGATTGCGCAAGGCGTAACAACCTCCCTGGGAGCCGCGAGGTCTCGACTCCGCTGGACCTCCAAGGAGCTCAGGAAAGTGGCGAAAGTTGCGCAGTTCGCAGCGCCCGAGGGAGATGCGAGCTCTCGGCTGGTGCTGCGCACTCCCCCACTCCGCGGAGCCTCCCAGCAGCCAACGAAAGTGCGACAGTTGCGCAGCTCACAGCCCCCCAGGGAGCTGCGAGGTCTCGGCTGGGTGCGCGTACTCCCCGACGCCGCCGTGCCTCCCAGGAGCCCACGAAGATGACGACAGTTGCGCAGTTCGCAGCCCCCCAAGGGAGCTGCGAGGTCTCGGCTGGGTCGGCGTACTCCCCTACTCTGCCGTGCACCCAGGAGCCCACGAGCATGGCGACAGTTGCGCAGTTCTGAGCCTCCCAGGGAGCGGCGAGGTCTCGCTTACTCCCCTGCTCCGCCGTGCCTGCCAGGAGCCCACGAAGATGGCGACAGTTGCGAAGTTCGCAGACACCCAAGGAGCTGCGAGATCTCAGATACTCCCCCACCCCGCCGTGCCTCCCAGGAGCCGACGAAAGTGGCGAGTTCGTAGACACCCAAGGAGCTGCGAGAGCTCCAGTACTCCCCCACCCCGCCGTGCCTCCCAGGAGCCCACGGAAGAGGCGACTGATTCGCAATTCGCAGGCACCCAAGGAACTGCGAGGTCTCGGGTACTCCCCTCTCCGCCGTGCCTCCCAGGAGCCCACAAGCGTTGCGACAGGCAGATCAAAGCCTCCCAGGGAACAGCGCAAGAGGAGGCGGGACGAGAGTGACGAAACTTGCGCAGCTTGCAGCCCCTCATGGAGCTGGCAAGTCTAGTCTGGGTCCGTGTACTCCCATACTACGCCGTCCCTCCCAGGAGGCCACGAAAGTTGCGACAGTTGCGCAGTTCGCGGCCCCCCCAAGGAGCTGCGAGGTCTAGTCTGGGTCCGTTTACTCCACCACTCCGCCGTGCCTCCCTCCCACTACTCCGCTACTCTATTACTCCTGTACTGCCCACAAAAATGGCGACCTTTGCGCAGTTCGCATTCCCCCCGGGAGCAGCGCAGGAGGAGGCAGGAGGAGGGGTGAGGAGGAGGAGGGGAGCGAGAGAGGAGGAGGAGGAGGAGGAGGAGGAGGAGGAGGAGGAGAAGGAGGAGAAAGAGGAGGAGGATGAAGAGGAGGAGGAGGAGGAGGAGGAGGAGGAGGGGGGGAGGAGGAGGGTGTGCGACTGCCGTGCTATACTCAAAACGAGAGACCAACACGGGAGGGCTGGCACAACAAACAACTACGGTGCGCATGGCCGTGGTCTCGCCCCTGGCCGTTGTGCTGCCTTGCCTTTCTCGAGGGTTCCCGGCCGTTCTCATCCTACTCCTCGACTCGCCTGCTCCACCTCTGCTGCCATGAGGGTGCATTGCTGACTATTTGTCACGGCAAGGGCATTGTTGAAGGGGCCCTGGGAAACACAAATAAATACACACGAATAAAATGATTACCCATATTTTCACATATTTTCTGGGTTTTTGTCTTCCCCACCACTTCCCATATTTTCCTATATTTTCTGGGGAATCGTCGATTAATTGTGCCTGTGTGTGTTTTCTCCTCCTGAATTGTGTTGCCTCCTGGCCTTCGAAGCGCGCCAGGAGCCGGCGCTTGATCTCCGCAAGCGAGCTGGGGCTCGGGCAGCCCAGCCGGTGCCGCGGTGGGTGCCAGCGCCCGAAGAACAGGAAGTGGTCCTGACCGGTATCCAGCTTGTTGCGCATCCTTTGACCGATCCCCCATCCTCCTCCTCCTCTATCCTCCTCCTCCTCTATCCTCCTCCCCCTCCTCCTCCTCCTCCTCCTCCTCCTCCTTCATCCTCTATCCTCCTCCTCCATCCTCCTTCTCCTTCTCCTCCTCCTTCTCCCCCACTGGCCCCACTGGCGTGGCCTTGGCCCCACTGGCCGACAGACCTACCTAACGGTGGTGGTACATGCCTGCTCCTGCGTATGTCGCGGGACCCATACCCACCCAGATGGTGGGCTGGTGGGGCTGAATTGCCGTGGCCGAGTGGGGAGGGGATAGGTCGGACGATGCTGACCTATCCAAATCTCTAAGATTGGCAAGCCCTAATGCAATGACAATCCTAAGGATGCGCCCTCAGAGGCTGAGGGCACCCTTACAGTGTCGAGCTGATCCCAAACCTGGGAGTGGCAAGCCCAGAGGCGACGCCACTCCCAAGGATGCGCCCTCAGAAACCGAGGATCATCCTGAAGAGCGGCATCGGGATAATGTGCTGCCAATTGTAGGTATGTGTGAGGCTGGTAAAAGTCAGGGATCTTCTGACCCGGGTCACTCCAGACCCCGGTCAGCAGGAAACCAGAAACTGCAATGCAGGAACAAAAAAAAAACTGCAGCGCAGGTCTTCGCAAACCCGGGTCAGCCAATATGCGCGGCCGCCTCGCGGCCACGAGCGGCTCGCTAACCCGGGTCAGCCAGAGGGGGTCTTCGCAGGATCCTGCAGGATCTGGCGCCCTGGCTGACCCCCGTTTGCACTGACCCCCGTCTCGAGGCTCCCGAAAAAGGTCCTGGACAAGGAAGCCGGCGGCGTCCACGTCCAGCAGCCCGAAGATCTCGGCGGCGCGGTCGTAACCGAGGCGCTCGCAGGCCCTCGAGAACTCGAGCTGGGACACCCTGCCGCTGTCGGAGGAAGAAACAGCTGCACGAACACGTAGACTCTTGGAGATCCGCGAGGATTTCTTGGACCTGCGCTGGACTTCTGTTGCTCCCATCGTACTTCAGGACCACATCCCAGAAATAATTTCGAGCACCATGGAAAGTGTCGAAAGAGTGTCGAAAGAGTGTCGAAAGAGTGTCGGACGAGTGCCTCCCAAAGCCCGACACAGGAAAACCCTCGAGTTTCGGTACTCTGTTCCGGTGCTCGAAATTCTTTCTGGTGATCAAGGCTAAAGTAGGTGGGAACATCATAACGCTGGACGCCCCTGCAATCCATGGCGCGCGTAGCGCGCCGGGGGCGGCGGTGGAGGCGCCGCCAGGGGGGTCCAGCGCAAATTCAAGAAACCCGTGCGGGCTCCGAACATCTACGCTTGCGCTGCTGGTTCCTCTTCGGGATGTTGTTCCCGTCGAACTCGCGGAACATGCTCTCTATGCCGGCTGGGCCGGCCCCGAAGGCGTCGTGGGCCCACCGCTTGAAGTGCATGAGCTCCGTGGCCTGCCGCACGTCGAGCTCGCAGATGTCCAGCATGCCGTTGGTGTCCTGGTCCAGGTACCTCCACAGGTCCCTCAGCCCGACCGGGGCGGGAGGCTGGAAGCCCACGCGCTCACAGGAGCGGTAGAATGCTACCTCTGGGGGGGGGGCTCTCGCAGCATCCACCCATCTTGCCCTGATTTCCAAGGGAGGTGAGTGAGGGTGCGAGGCAGGGGTCTCCATGACCCATGAATTCATCTCCGGGGACATCGGCAGACGGTGGACACGGATATAATACTCTGCTCCCAAGGGCCCGAATAGATCCACATCCAGCCCCACAGATCGAATCCCCAGGCAGTGGTTCTGGATGAATCCCCGCCTCGGACGTCTTTCGGGATGAGATGCGGCACAGGCGGGAGGAGCAGAGAGGAAGACGACCAGATCGGTGGATGCGGTTCGAGCCCCCGAGCCTCGCCCATCGCCATATTCCCAGAATTCGCATCCATCGCTCGCCACCAGCCCAGCGAGCTCTTGCCGTAGCGGCGGCACAAGAACTCCTTGAGGGCTCCGAAAGCCACCTCGCCCTTGAGGATCATCCTCCGCCTCTTCTCCCAGCTGGTGCTGGCAGAGGCGGTGCCCAGCTCCAGCTCGGACAACAAGGCCTCCGGTGGTGAGGTTTGAGGTTGAGCGCAGCTAATTAGGACAAACCCCGGAGATAGGCTCAGAACTGGCCGCAACAGGCCCACAGCACAGGGTATGCACCCAGAGCCCAGACGTCTCATTTTTTCACAACGCGGATCCCTGGAGGCCTCGACCTCTCCCCAGGACCAGCCGCTCTCGTTAATCAACGGCCCTGGGGCCCAGCAAGGCCCCCCTGAGGCCGAGCAAGGCCGAGCGCCACCCGTCGTTGCTTTGCTTGCGGCGCGGAAGGGGGTTCTGGCACGGCAGGCGATGATTCCGGCGCGTCGGCTCCCCGCACCGCGTGGACCGCAGCCCTGCGCAGCAGCGGCGCTGCAGTGGCGCACATCGTCCGATACCGCCCGGCTCCCATCGGCAACTGGCAGCGCTCAACCGTGAACGAAGTCTATAGGATTACGTCGGGCGTGTCCCCCTGCAGGGGGATTTCCGACGAAGAGCAACAGAAAAACTCAAAACAGACTCCAGAATGGTAAACAAATGCTCAGAAAATAGTCCCCGGACTATTTTTGCATCTTTTCGAATACTCACCCCTGCAGAGGGACAGGCCCGACACTCAAGTCTGTGGGACCGTCGCAGCCCCAAAAGACCCCGGCGCGGCCGCTGGCGGCCGCCGCGCGCTTCGAGGCCGCACTGGCCATCGCCCGGACGTCCATTCCCTGTGTTTTGTTAGGTTTTGTGCGTGTTTTTTTCGCCAAATGATCAAGGATGCTCCTCGGTGGTCCTCGCCGAAGGAAACATGCACACGTCCGAGCGATGCCAAGCAGAAGACCACGGCGCGGCCGCTGGCGGCCGCCGCGTGCCTCGAGGCCGCACGGGACCCCCCCCCGATCTCGTGGTGGCGCCTGCCGCGCGGAAGGCACTGGGCGTCGGCGGTGGACAAACCTCCCTTTCGCGAGCCTCCCCTTAGTGACAACGGCACGGGACCGCAACCGACGGACCCGGACCCGCTAAAATGACGGCCGCGACGCCCTCTCGGGAACCGACAACGGCCAATTCGCTCATCGACGTGTCAGGGCAGGAGGCCTGCCCACCCCCGAGTGCGACTGTGCGGGACGGGAAAATGACCACAGCCACTGCTTCTTGTTTGCGCCGCCTTCCAGCCGGCCGAACAAAAAGCAGGGGTTGTGGTCGTTTCCCCGGTGCCGAGCTTGACGAACATGACCACAACCGCTGCTTTGTTTCTGCTGGCTGGCAGGCGGCAACAAAAGAAAAGCAGTGGCTGTGGTCGTTCGTCACGCCTCGTAGACTGGGCCCCGGCCCCGACCCTCCCCTCCGCGGCGGCCCCGGGCCTCCGCGGCGGCCTCGGCCTCCCTCGCGGCGCGAGCCGCGCGGAGGCGGGGGGCCGAGGCAGGGGGGACAAAGAGTGGCACAAACATGCAAAACTCGGAGGTCGCAGGGGAACGAAAAGTGGCATAAACATAAAAACTCGGAGGCCCGCGCGGACTCCTCGGAGGTCGTAGGGAGACGAAAAGTGGCATGAACATACAAAACTCGGAGGCCCGCGCGGACTCCTCGCATCGGCGCTGGACCCCCCTCCCCGGGCGCGGACCTTCGAATTTTTATGTTTATGCCACTTCTTGTTCCCCTATGCACATAGGAATTGTCCAGCCCCCGGGTGTCATCCCGTTTCTCGTGCAGTTCTGTGTATGGATTCCTCTGCTGCAGTTTGTCGTCCTCTCGCATCCCCCGAGCCCCTCGGATCTAAGAAATCTGCGTGGACCTGGAGAAGGACCCAACCATGTGCAGTTGTG